TCCAGGGAAAGGCCCAGTTATCTGGTTGTTACAGTGGATTTTCATTCCAACATTCCCCAGGAGAGGCCACTAAACGGCTGCTTACCCCTTTCCAAGAAACACGGTCTTGAGGAGACCTCTGATCTCGTTAATACTCCTTCCAGCTTGGATCCCATGAAATTATTTGAAATATGCATATTGTTCAATAGTAGTTCTATAATAGTGAAGACTGGCTTCAGTCGACTGCCTCTGAACTCTGCCCAGAGTACAATTATACAAGCGTGTCACGCAATTGTAGCCTGGAAAAGAAATCGTCTTAATGGCATTGCCCCACTTATCCTACTGCTCTGATTAGCTTGCCTCATTACTTCTCTTTCCTCAAGCTCTTCTGAACCTTGTTTCCAGCAGATTTCACATGTGGAAGCATATGCAGCCAGAACTAGCAATCACCCAGGATGGACAAATCCAGGGGGCAATTTTTATGAAGAAAAAGTACACAGAGAGTTCAACAACAACTTCTCTACTTTGTACCATTTGCCCCAGGAGAACCCTTTTCTCCTCAGCTACAACTCATACCCTAACTGTCAATATACTCTATCAATTATGAACAACATGGACGAAGCAAGGAGACATTCCAGTTTATATTATTTTAACAATGAAGTGTGTCTAAATCTCTATCCTTTGAGACAATGCAAGTCTTTCACAATCTCCCCTCATCCTACCCAAAAAATAGTTTTGTGAAATAGTTGATATTTTTTTAAAAATTATAATGAAAGTATATGAATGAGTTGGATAAAAAGCAATTGTTTTGTAAACTGTCATCCAAATCACAATTGAAAAAAATTATAAAAGAAATACTCTTCTCAAAAAATAAGACTCTTACATTGTGTATAAAAGTCTCATGAGGAATAGGTCCGTTTGCACATCCGACTGGGTTTCAATTGAGCAGGTTTAGCAGTAGAGGATGGAAATCTCGTTGCCAGCAAAGAAGAAAAAGCAAAGAATTCAGCACAAGTCCTTCAAGGGTCAGAGATCCCTGTGCTTGTCAAACCAGGGCCTACACGAGAGAGTTCCAGCAACCACAAAGATACCAACAGGAGACTGAGCTGACTTGGAGCTGCTGCCCTGCAGAGTCAGAGCCCTTTGCCCAAGCTTGCAGCAGTACCCAAGGGAGACACTAGAACTGGAAGCGCTAAGAGAGCTTTGTGATATGATCCTAAAGTTTCAAAGTTAAGGCCTGAAGGTCTTCTCAGCAGCTTGGAGAGCTGTTCTAACTGAAGAATTGTATCCTGCTGCCAACCTGAATTGTAATGTACTCATTTGCCTCATGAACCCCACAATTGTGAGTATGTTTCCTTGAGATCTGTGTAGCTATCACAACAGATTTCAGGGGTAGGAGCAGAGTAGTGCAATTGGTATTATAATCAGTAGAAGTAGGTAGCATAAGAAGTCATGTCTGACCTTACAGGAACTGGTTTGTATTGTGGATGTTGTTGATAGTGACTGTTGGGCACTGTGAGATAATAAAGGTCAGATGTAGCAGTCCTTATGCCACCACCACTCTTTTTACAGAAGTAATATATTTAGCTTGTGATTTAGTGAACATAGACTTTCAAGTAGGAAAGCATTCAGCAGTCACTCTCAGCCAAGGGTACTTTGGTTTCACTCTCCAAGGGCATCTGTATGGTCTGGGAATACTTAGAGTTGTCATCACTGGGGGCATGTAGTGGAATCTAGTAGGTAGAGAATGGACCAGCTGCTAAAGATCCTATGATGTACAAAGCAGCCACTCCCAACAGAGAATCATGCCGCCCAAAATGTCAATAATCCAGAGGTTGAGAAGCTCTGGTCTAGCGGTGGTAGGAATGCCAAGTCCAGAGCTGTGGGAAGTAGGATTGGGAAGAGATGGCAGCATTTAGACACCCATACTAGAGTGATATTTGGAAGCAGGAGTGGCATCCAATTCCTAAATAACATACCTCCGGAAACTCTATGAACTTTGATAAATGTTGATAGTTATAGAAAGACTTCAGGCCTTTTGTTCATAGTGTCGTTATGAGTCGTACTCAACTCGAAGGAAATCAACAACAACAATAACAACAGTGATATACATGAGCAGAAATGCCAAGCAGAGAGGAGAGGGAAAGGAAGAAATTGTTGAAGAAAACGTAAGTAATATCGCTTCATTGGTAAAATGAGTCCGGTGAACTGAGATAATGTCAGATGGCCCTTCCATATTCAAATCCCAAGAAGATAAATGGTCAAGGCTGTTAATCAGGGAGCAGATCAATGCAGCTAACAATATCCAAGAAAGGCCTAAACATGCAAGACACATCGCAGCTCATAACAAGGAAACCTGATACGTGATTTAATACTTAGATTGAACAGAGCAAGGACACACTGAATGGATTAAAATTTAAAAAAGTGTGCATCAGGGCTATATCCTCTCATATTTAATTGATTAATAAGCTCCAGAGTACCCTGGATGAGATGAATTGATAGAGTAACTGGGAAAATTGGAGGTAAGTGTGTCGGAACCTGTGAGACTGGCTCAGGACAAGGTAGGCTTCGGAACTTCAGACAAGGTCATCATGAATTGCAGGCGATTTGACGGCACATAAAACAACAACAACATACCTAGTTAATCTGCATGCTGAGCAAATCATTTGAGATCCTGAGCTTTATGAAGAAAATGTTGGGCAAAGTTTGGAGAAAGACTCATTAACAAACTGCATTATGCACATGACATAGCCTTGCTTGCCGAAAGTGAGAAGGTCATGAAACACTTGCTGAAGAAGATCTAAGGCAATAGCCTTCAATTTGGATTGCATCTTAATGTTGAGAAAACAAAAACTGATGGAGAAAAGATTGAAATTGTTAGCAATTTCATCTTGAATTCATAATCAACACCCTTGTTAACAACAGTCAGGAAATCAGGAGACACATTGTTGTGTTGTGGTTGCTGTTATATGTCATTGAGTCACCAGCGACTCATAGCGACCCTATGTACAACAGCCCTAAACTCTGCTCTCTCCTGTGCCAATCTCACTGTCTTGGACACACCCACTCCATTACCCCAGTCACCGAATCAATCTATCTCATAGAGGGCCTTCCTCTCCTGAGCTGTCCCTCCACCCTCTCAAGCATGACGCCCTTCTCCAAGGACTGGTCCCTCCTTACAACATGTCCAAAGTACGTCGGACGAAGCTTCAGAATCCTTTCTTCCAAAGAGCCGCCTGGTTTAACCCTCTCTAGGATGAACCTGTTCGTTTTCTTAGCAGTCCCTGGTATATTGAATATTGTTCTCTAGCACCACAGCTAAAAGGCATCAATTCTCCTTCTATCCTCCCTAGTCATTGTCCAGCTCTCTGATGCATAGCAAGTGAATGCAAAGACCATGACCTGTATCCAGAGTACCTTAGTCCCTAGAGTGACACCATTGCCCTTCAGTACTTTGGAGAGGTCCCTAACAGCAGACTTTCCCATCAAAATAATGTCTTTTAATTTCCTGGTTGCTGGTCCCAAGAGTGTTGACTGTGGAGCTAAGCAAACTAAAGCTGTGAACAATCTCAATCTCTTCACCATCCATCATGATGTTGCCATTTGGCCCAGTGGTGAGAATCTTTGTCTTCTTGGTGTTGAGCCTCAATCCATATTGAAGGCTGCAGTCCTTGCCCTTCTGCACCAAGTGCTTCAGGTCCTTCTCAGTTTCAGCAAGCAGGGTTGTGCCATCTGTATAATGCAGATTGTTAATGAATCTTCCACCAATTCTGATGCCACACTTCTCCTCATACAGCCCAGCATCCTGGATGATCTGTTCTGCATATAGGTTGAAAAGGAGATAGCTCACATCTCTGGCATACACCCTTCCTAATTTTGAACCACGCAGTGTTTCCTTGCTTTGTCCTGACGACTGCCTCCTGGTCCAAATATAGGTTTCACATTAGCACGATGAAGTGCTCTGGGATTCACGTAGATCCTTAAAATGTCTTTTAATTAAGGGTAATTATTCACTTGTTTTCATATGAAGAGAAGATGAGGATGGGGTGGGAAAACTATAGTTGATAGCTGTAAAAAATTACCAATAACTAAATATTATAAATAGTAAAAGCCTGTCTGAGAAGACTTCCAGTAAAGTTATTCTTACATTCGGTGACCTTGAATAACCTGTATCACCCAAAGTTACCCACTTATAAGCACATCTAATAACTTCTAATTTGTTGTATTAATTTCTCCTGATCACTTGACTAAGTTGATTTCTAGTGGACCAGTCCAAGCACTAACCTAGTTATTGTCATGGAGTAGCCACATGGAGTTAAATCAGTTAACAATGGATAGCAAAGATTACCTTGAATAATATAACATCATCAATCATCACAAAATAATAATAATAATAATAATAATAATATTGCTATAATAATGGTGACCCAGTGGTTATAAAGGACAGTCTCCTCCCTTATAATATGTACCTTCTGAAAACTCACAGAAGAATCAGCTATGAGTCAGTTCCAAACTGAATACAATGAAGGTTGTTACACACCATTGAGTCAAAATCTACTCATAGCTTACCTTCCAGAAGGTTATAATAATTGACATAATAATTTTTACAGCACAATCTACTATGACCAATCAATCAGTTGAGATCCTAACAGTGCAAGGTAGGTTCCAAATCTAATCACTTCTGAGATACAAAACCAGAATAGACATAGACATATATTCCCAGGGGAGGACAATCAAAAAAGTGTCATGCGTGGATGACTTGGAGAAATCAGAAACTAAGAGAAAGTGTCACTTTAGGAATCAACATCGCTGAGACCCTAATTTGGACTTTTCCTCTCCAGCGTAAGGAGGAGATAAATGCCAGTTCTTGAAATCATTCACTTGTAGCATGTATATTACGGTAGCAGTAGGTAACTAAAATGACTGTATTAGGACTTTAGGAATTTAATAAAGTCTTGAGATTTCTACTTCATCAAATGAACTGGATGCTGTCACCCTACAACAACAGGCAGGCCACTCACCTGTCCAGTAGCAAGTTAGGAGCAAACAGGAGTTTTCCCGGGTGTTCCATTGAGCGCCACACGAGACCGATCATCAGAATCTCTAGCCAGGCACATTCCAGAAGGTGGACCTGATCATGGAGGGTCAAATCCACAAAGCCTGAAATAAAAGAAGGAAAATTCTGCTGACTTAAAGCAAAAAAGTATTAATTAAGGTTGAAATTATGCAAAAAGGACTTGAATTGTGTTTTAGTAGATTGTTGTTGTTGTTATGTGCCGTCGAGTCATTTGCCACTCATAGCGACCCTATGTACAACAGCCCTAAACGACCCTATGTACAACAGCCCTAAACCCTGCTCTATCCTGTGCCAATCTCATTGCCTCTGACATACCCATCCTGATTACCCCAGTCACTGAATCAATCCACCTCATAGAGGGTCTTCCCCTCCTGCGCTGTCCCTCTACTCTGCCCAGCATGATGTCCCTCTCTAAAGACCTGTCTCTCCTTACAACATGTCCAAAGTATGTCAGACGAAGCCCCAGAATCCTTGCGTCCAAGGAGCAGCCTGGTTTAACCCTCTCTAGGATGAATCTATTTGCTTTCTTGGCAGTCCATGGTACATTCAATACTCTTCTCCAGCACCACAGCTCAAAGGCATCAATTCTCCTTCTGTCCTCCCTAGTTATTGTCCAACTCTGTGATGTATAACAAGTGATTGCAAAGCTTAGTCTCCAGAGAGATACCATTGCTCTTGAGTACTTTAGAGAGGTCCCTAACAGCAGACTTTCCCATCTCAATACATTTTTTGATTTCCTGGCTACTGGTGCCAAGAGTGTTGACCGTGGAGCCGAGCAAACTGAAGCTGTGAACAATCTCAATCTCTTCACCATCCATCCTGATGCTACCGAAGTGTCAAATAATATTTTTCTTCACTTCAGAAATTACAGTTGATATTAATATGGCATTAAGTTTCTTACAGCCTTCATTGCACATCTACCCTCAATGCACTATTGTATGCAATCCAAAGGTGAGCAGTTCTAATTCACCAGCTGCTCTCCAGGTATAAGATGGGCAGTCTCCTCCCATGTGATTTGCTGCCTCTGAAAACCCACTAGAGGGTCAGCTCGGAGTCCTCTCCAACTCAATGGCACACAACAACCATATACCTACATAAAGTTAACATTTGTATTGTTGTTGATGGTAACTGTCCTCAAGTCGAGCACGACTCATGGCCACTCTATGAACAGAAGACCTGAACCCTGTTCTGGAACTACTACTGTTTCTCTAGGTTCCTAGAGTTTTCAGAAGCCTGCTATTTAGGAAGTGGATGCCACTCCTGCTTCGAATAACTTGTATTCTTTCTATTTATACACATACCTATGGACTAGTTTCTATTAACTAGGCATTAAGTGATTTCTATTAACTAAGCTTTAAACTAGGGAGCGTTGGTGCCCTAGTGGCAAGAAGCTACACTGCAATCCCAAAGTTCAAATCCACCAGCTGCTCTGTTGGAGAAGGATGGGCAATCTCCTCCTGAGTGATTAAATGCCTCTGAAAACTCATTGGAGGGTCAGCTATGCGTCATTTCTGACTCGACAATGCACAATAACAAAACCAGCAGGCATTAAATCAGCTGTGCTGAAGTTGGTCAGAACCATGACTCCATGTGTGTCAGAGAAGAATTAAGATCTTCAGTAATTGACTTTTTGGATGTGAGCTGGTAGTTTATCTCCCCCACTATTGGACCAATAGACAACATCATGTTAGGTAGAGAAAAGATTGCAGTTGTCAACTGTTTCTGCTTACTTGGACCCATAATCAATATCATTGGCACTAGCAGTCAAGAAGTGAAAACAAACACATTGCATTGAATACATCTGCTGTCAAAGACTTCTTTAAGGTATTAAGGAACAATGTTATCAGTTTAAAGACTAAGGTATATCTGACTCAAGCCATGGTAGTTTCAGTTACTTTCTGTCCATCTGAGAAGTCCTTGAACTTGATGTATTGACACAGCGACTTCAGCAATAGGTTCTCATTTGTCAGAGATGATGGGGATGGCCCAGGATAGGGTACCATTCAGGCTGGTTGTTCAGAGGGTCACTATGAGTCAAACTTAATTCACAGGACCTAACAACAACAGTGACTGAGACGAAATGGTAGGGGTTTAGATCCGTTATTCACAGAGTGGTTATGAGTCGTGTTCAACTTGATGGCATATAGCATCAGTGGATAAAGAGCTGCATTGCCAACCCAAAGGCACATCTGTGCTGCAGATGGTTTGAACTCGTGAGTTTCTCCGTGGTAGAAGTTTCTCCTTCTGTGTGATTTACAATCTCTGAAATCCCACTGGAGGGTCAGCCCTGAGTTAATGCTGACTCAGTAGTAATGACTTGGGGTTTTGGAATAAGCCTAGAGGGAGCTCTGGTGACCTCGTGGGTGAGGGTGTGTGCTAATAACACAAAGGCAGGTGGTTTTAATTCTCCAGAGCTCTTCAGAAGAAAGATGGGTAATTTTGCTCATGCCTCTGAAACCTACTAGGAGGTCAGCTATGAGTCAGTTCCCCCTTGATGCCAATGAGTTTGAGCTGAGTTGAATAAGCCTATGGTAAAGCAGAGGGTTGGTGAACAGGAGGGGGAACCAGCTCTTAAAGAAAGATATCATGTTGGGAAAGGGGGAGGGTCAGTGAAAGAAAGGAAGACTTTCAAGAGATGAATTGACACAGGGCCTGCGACAATGAGTTTAAGCATGACAGTGATCGTGGGATGGTGCATAATAGGGCAAGATTCAGGTCTGTTGTCAGAGAATTATTATGAGTCATAGTCAAATTGATGACACCTAACAGTGACAACTCTGTAAGACGGAGGGCCCTAATACAACAATGGGCAAAAGCAGATCAATGATCGTGAAGACGGCCTGGACTGGGCAACATCTCACTGTGTCCCATCTGTTGTTGTGTGTGCTATCAAGTCGGAACTGACCCACAACCAGCCCTCCAGCGAATTTTCAGAGGCAGTAAACTGACCCATAACCAGCCCTCCAGCAAGTTTTCAGAGGGAATAAATCGCAGGGGAGGAGATTGCCCAGCTTTCTTCCATGGAGCAGCTGGTGGATTTGAACTGCTTGCCTTTAAATTGCAGCTTCTTACCAGGAGATCATCAGGCTCCCTTCTGTCATGCATAGGTCACCAGGAAGAGTCCACTTAACAACTAATCACTAACAACAATCACTTAGGATGACTATTCTATTTCATTCTTGTTTTAGCTAAAACAGGAGCCTTGGTGGCATTCATTGTTCCTTATGTGTGGGGCTGGTCACTGGGAGTCAGTGGTTCAAATCCACCAACTGCTCTGTGACAGAGAGATGAGACAGTCAACTCCCATTAAGATTTCAAGTCTTGGAAACTTGATGGAGGGCGGCGAGGAGTAAGAATAAGGATGTGTGGCATTTTTCAGATATTCATTCACTCATTCATTGTTATCAAGTCAGAACCAAGTCAGTCATAGCTGATCCTCCAGTGAGTTTGCAGAGGCTGTAAATCATGCAGTAGAAGATTGCCCATCTTTCTTCCTCAGAGCAGCCGGTGGATTCGAACAACCTGCCTTGGGTTTGGCCCCACAGCTCTTTACCCACTAGGCCACCAGAGTTCCCTGAGATATTAGGTGTAGGAAATTTACTTATTAATGAAGCTCTAGTGGCTTAGTAGTTAGTTGTGCTGTTAACCCAAAGGCACATGGTTCAAATCCACTAGCTGCTCTGCATGAGAAAGATGAGAAATATCTTCCCATATGATTAATTACCTTTGAAAACCCAGTGGACAGTCAACTGGGAGTTGGTTCTGACTGGACAGTACATAACAATGACATCTCAACCTCTGAGAGAACAGAGGTGAAGTCAGGAAACCAAAGTCAGCAAATTTTTATGTCTTTGGTGAGTAATTAAGTCATCTTTTTTTACATATATCACTTATAAGACATTTAAGGAAATAGTTTTTTAAAATTTTTATTATTATTATTAATTTCAGTGAAAATTTACAGAGAATTTAGATTTCCATTCATTCGTTGTTGCACTTTTCTCCCTGACCACCTCTCTCCTCCAGTTCATTCTTCTCTTTGAAAAGTAAAAGTTCTTTCATTGTTATACAATTTATGTAAATCACCTGAAGAGAATGGCACACATGAGCAGAAAGGTGGTACTGTGATTAGTCTAGTAATAACCATTAAAATATGCCCTGGCCTTCTCTTACAATGGATAATTAGGAGAGTAAAGTTTTTTTCCAAGGCATCATTGGTAAAATGGTAGCTGTCTGATAATAATAAAAATATAAGAAAAAGAAGGAAGAAGAGGAGTAGGGGTTACTAACCCTTTCATATAGGTTATAATCAATGTGCTAACTGTATACATTTTAATCCTTATTCATATAATCACCCTAAGAGGTGAGTGCCAATATTACCATTTTACACATAGGAAACAGATGCTTATTATTCATTTCATTATTAAGGAAGTTTGTATAACTTATTAAGGTCAGAGACAGGAAGATAATCTCTAACTCTTCATCTCATATTCCCTTGAACACAACTGACACTACCTCTCATGAACTCAATTAATTAAAGAATTTGGAAGAAATGACTAAAAAAAAAATCTAATCACACAAATGAAACAGGCTAGAGTTCCCAGGTCATGAAACAAACAAGACGTCTATAAAGTGCACTGCTGTCCAAATCAAGTCCTGCTCATTCTTCTGCTGTATTTCTTCAGGGTCCCCCTCCTCCCTCGCCTTCTGCCTGCAGCCTGCAACCTTCTCCAGCATCCTTTCTCCAGGAAAATAGCTCCAGAAAGTGCCCACACTCCATTTGGCTATCCAGCTTACCTCCTCTCAAATAAATAAAAAAGAAAATTAGGCTTTTATTAGCTGTCTACAATTGTATTTACTAAATGAGGCAACATTTCCATTTCTCTTTCTGGTGCAGTCAAGTATTGGCGGTTTGTCCGCTGGATGTTTCTCCTTGGTTATCTTGCAGGCATAGACTCATGAAGCTCTCAGTTCTCAGTTCACTGCTTTCTCCTCGCTTCAGCTCCATCTTTCGTGCACCCCTTAGCTCCGATGGGTGAGGATTCACAGAGCAACACTCAAGCTAAAGACAGGCTTCTTGGCCTAA